ATATATATATATAAAACCATAGCAGCACACATGACAATTTCAAGTGCACAAACCCGCACAAACGAAGCACTAACCACTCATCATATTTGCCTTTTTTTTCTTCTGTTGTTCATTTTTTGGGAGGGGTTGGTTTCACTCAGCTCTTCTGCTGAACTTCCATTTACTGATCACCTGTTGCTCTCTTTCAGTGTCAATCTTAAATTTTCTTCTATCAAACCTCAACGCACTCTCTCCTTTCATAATGTTAAGAATATAAATCAGGATGTTCTTCTTTTCCATGTTGGCAATACCTTCTCCTCCTTCAGCTCTTCTAACCTGGACAATCTTATCTCTTTTTACAGTAACAGCCTCACCACCATCCTTAACTCTGTCGCTCCGTTAAAAACCCGGTCTGTCTCCTTCTCAAACTCTGCACCGTGATTCACTCCAGAACTCCGTTCATTGAAATCCAAAGGTCGGAGGCTGGAATGCCTCCATAAGAAAATCAACCTCATAATTCACAAGGAACTCTATAAGAACCACATCAAACAGTATAAGGACAGTATTTCTCAAGCCAAATCCAGCTACTTCTCTGTCATAATCAGTTCCAATATTGGTAATTCTCAGACTCTTTTCTCTCTCTCAACCATACAGTTTCATCTCATAACTCTTTACCCTCACATGGTGTCCAATGATTTTTGTAACTCTCTGATGTCCTACTTCAATGAAAAAATCCTGACTATTCACAAACACCTTGGCCCAAACACTGCTCACAGCTCACATGTTGAACTCCCCTCTCCCTCCCTCCACCTCTCTGTCTTCTCCCTCCCCTCTGCCRCTGACATCACTGATATCATTAGCAAGTCTAGCCCTCATCCTGCCAGCTCGATCCATTTCCCACTGTTCTTGTTAAATCCTGCCTCCCGTCTCTGCTCCCTATCATCACCAGCATCCATTCCTCCTTGACCTGTGGTACTGTTCCCTCAGCTTTTAAATCTGCAGCCATTACCCCCATCATCAAGAAACCCGGTCTCGACCCAAGTAACTTCAGTAATCTTCATCCAATCTCWAAACTGCCCTTCATTTCCAAGATTCTAGAAAAAGTTGTCGCCAGTCAACTCCACTTTCACCTTTCCAACAATAACCTCTATGACAGGGGTGTCAAACTCCAGTCTTCGAGGGCCGCTATCCTGCATGTTTTAGAGGTTTTCCAGCTCCAACACACCTGATTCAGTGATTGAATTAACTCTTCAAATTGGGCAGAAGCCTGTTAATCACCCAGCGATCAAAATCTGGTGTGTTGGAGCAAGAAAACCTCTAAAACATGCAGGATAGCGGCCCTCGAGTACAGGAGTTTGACACCCCTGCTCTATGACGAGTTTCAATCTGGTTTTCGCCCACATCACAGCACCGAAACTGCCCTCATAAAAATCACCAATGATCTTCTCCTTGCTGCTGACTTTGGTCTCCTGTCCATCCTCATCCTCCTCGACCTAAGTGCTGCTTTTGATACAACCTCTCATTCTATTCTCCTCAACAGACTCACATCCATTGGCATCTCAGGAATTGCGTTTGACTGGTTCAAATCTTATCTTTCTGACTGCACTCAATTCATCCAGATAAAATCCTTCCATTCCCAGTCATCCCCCATCTCCAGCAGCGTGCCCCAAGGCTCTGTGCTTGGACGCCTTCTATTCATAACTTACCTCCTTCCTCTTGGCTACATTTTCTGCAAGTTTTGTGTCCGTTTCCATTGTTATGCCAATGACACACAGCTCTACCTGTCAACCAAGCCAAACTCCACACACCCTCCCTCCATCCTCTCTGACTGTCTCAATGAACTCAGTCACTGGTTTTCAGACAATTTCCTTCAAGTGAATAGTAATAAAAATATATCCTTGTCGGCACTAAAAATTCCATCTCAAAGTCTAATAATCTCCTCATCCCTATCAACAACTCTCTGCTAACCCCCTCCCCTCAGGTCAAGTGTCTTGGTGTCATCCTCGACACCACTCTCTCTTTCACTGCTCACATCAATAATGTTACTCGGTCTGTCTACTTCCACCTCAGAAATATCAAACATCTCCATCCTTCTCTCACACCCCGCACCACAGCCATCCTTGGCCACAGTCTTGTGACCTCACGGATTGACAACTGTAACTCCCCAACAAATCCCTCCATAAGCTTCAGATGGTGCAGAATTCAGCTGCACGTGTCATCACCCAAACCTCCTCCCATAACCACATCACCCCAGTCCTGCAGCAGCTCCACTGGCTCCCGGACAAATCACACATCGCTTTSAAAATTCTTCTTCTCACGTTTAAAACTACCCACCATCTTGCCCCTCCTTACATGTCCGATCTCGTACACATCTCCATCCCCTCCYGCTCTCTCAGATTCTCTTCTTCCCTAAACCTCCAAGTACCCACTGCTCGCCTCTCCACCATGGGGAGCAGGTCCTTCACCTGCTCTGCACCTCTCCTCTGGAACTCTCTACCACCTGACCTAAGAAACACCACCTCTCTTCCTGTGTTCAAGACTGCTTTGAAAACACATCTCTTTAGATTAGCATATCCATCTTAACTCCATTTATAATCCATGCTCTGTAACTCATGCCTGCTTGTCTCTAACTGTATTTTCACACATTCTTCCATGATGTGTCTAATGCTATAAGTGTCCTTGGGTGTCCTGAAAGGCGCTTTTGAAATAAAAAGATTATTATCATTATTATTATTTCTTAGATGGCCTCCCTTCTCCCCTTACAGCCATCCTCTCCACACCATTATTATGAAATGGTTTTTTTAAATAATAGAAGAAAAAGAAGAAGAAAGAAAAAAGTGAAATGTAATGAGAAAGAGTGAAAAAGAGATTAGAAGATACGTAAAATATATGTTGAGAAAACACAAGACAGCACACCGGACTTCTCGGCTCCACACCTACAAAACAAAGATAGCAAAACCACGGCAACAAAAAAGCATAACTATATAATTGTAATGACTTTAACCTTATACATACATACATACACACACACACACACACACACACACACACACACACA